AGTAATGTGGATAGAGGGAGTTGTACGAATTCTCGAAAACGATGAACTATACAATGCATTCGTGGATCATTCAACATAGACGTTGATCGTTGTGTATTTTCTTCATGAAAACCAGGATTTTATCTTATACGGTGTGTAATTAGGCAGTTATGAATCGCATGATGCAATGATGTCTTGATGGGAAATAGCCCTAGATATTTCACTAGGCAAAACCTGGATAGTCCACTAACAAACAAATCTGAGACTGTTGATAATGTAAAAAGATCTTGGGATTTTTTTTTGAGGTTCCCCCATGTGAGTGAATCCAACCTATGCCAAAAACATAGGGAACACTGGATGGCTGTTTTATCTTTGTTAGGAATCATCAACACTGAGAATATCGTGACCATCTTGAACCCGCGACTTCTGGCTAGAGTTTAAACACTTGAACTTTCGATCTAAACAAAAAATCTCGAAATTTCTCCCACTGTCAACAATCATTTGATGGCTAAGAATAAATATGATTGGAACTTCCATCTGAGAGGTCGTCAGTGGATGGTGCGGTCAAGTGCTCACGTGATTGAAGGATGAGTGGTGATGTATTCTAAGTGAGTTAATCATACCGCTGATCAGGCGCTCGTAACTAAGTAGCCAAGTGTCTAAACTATATTTAAAGGTTAGCCGGCTTTTCTCGCCAGGCATTACAGTGGATCTCCTAAGACAGCACTTTTGTAAGTAAAAAATGTCAAGGCACCACGTCAGAGATTGCAAGAGTCCCCATTCGACTGTCCGAAATGTAGGTCTGTGGGCTTCAGTTAACTTTCCATGGTCACTTGACCGACCCCAAAGCGCACAGCCTGCTGTGAGCTATATGCAGTCTGATTCGAAGTACGTTGGCAAATGTGCTCTTTTTGAACTAATTTCAGCTTTGGATTTGCAGCCCTCTGAGTAGTACATCGCAGTTGGCGTCAGCAGGATGTGCAATATTTGTATCATTGCTCTGCTTCAATTAGTCTTAGTGAATTTCTCTTGAAAAGCGTGCATCGTACGTTTTTGGATTCAGTAGGAAAGGGACAGTATTTGAACACCTGAGGGTCTCCTTGTGAATGGAAGAAGGTATTTTGTGAGGATGAGGCAATACAATTTGTCGACAACGGCAGGGCGCTGTTTCATATCACTGTGGAACGGAAATGGTGTAATGAACAGTATATCATTCTTAGACTTGCCAATGAAGTATCGAATTCGAATCTCTCTAACTCAACCTAGTTTCATTGGAAGGCATCCGAAACAAGTGCATCTTATGGGTTAGTGTCCGGCAGTATTTACTACATTTTCCAAACTTTCAAGGGTTGAGAACGGAGTTTCAGCAACCGTTTCTTCTTAAAGTAACAAGATGCCCAATTGATCGCCTCGAGCGGACTTAACATTGTTAGAATAGTGCTAGCCGTTTACCATTTTTTCCGCAGGACAATCTACAACTTTGAAATTATTTGATAATGAAATTTGCGGTCTAGGGGAAAAAGGTTTCGGTGTTCAAACCTGAAAAGGCGTTGTTTACCGTATGGTTGTTCCCACAGGTCTCGCTCACCCAAATGCCCGTAAGATGAGTTCTGACGGATTGCGGAAAATGTTTGATACAGTCATCTATCGCTTAGTTGCCCTTTCTTTTCGAGCTTACGCTTGGGAGACAAAAGTTACCCTAAATAAAGGTAAATCTTTCAAACCAGAAACATTTTGTCGAGCTATTTAATATAGTTTTGGATAAATAGACCGTGTAATGAGTTTGAGTTTAACCAAACTGAAACCTAACACACACTGATGTTTTAGCATCTCGTTTCATATTTCGCATTGCACATATTGATGGTTTGCATTCGATGAAATTATTAGGTTTTCCATCATTCGTTCGTGATATTCCTATGCCACTGATGCACACAATGTGTTCACTGGATTTATGGGAATCATTTAGTACACAGCAATGTTGAGACTCTTTATTCTGACGCGCACATGACCCGGAGATGGTTTTATTTTTAGATGCTTAACTAGTCAATCTGAGGAATGCTGATTACCCCTTTAGCAGTCACAAGAAACAGAACATATTTGAGTCAGTATTGAATGGCTCACATTATGGATTCATAGCAATAACTCGATTCAATATTCATATAGTTTTCCACCACTTTTGGTTGTCTGTACTGTCCTCCAGTTGATTTCGGTGTTATTTTGTCTCCCTTGGTTCTATTCACTCCCAACCCAGATGAGCTCTTATCCAACACAACAGACAGACGCATCAGTATGTTTAGCGGCTCCACGAGCTAGGGTGAGGAAATAATATGTGATTGCGCTACCGGTTTCTCTAAGTGTTGTTACTTTGCCAAAATTATCTTTGCTGCGTCATTAAGCAGGACTTGTAAAAAGCATCCCAAACGATGATGAAGGCCAGTCGTGACGTGTTCGAATATAAGGATAGAACTTCTGTGGATATCAGATCTAACGCGGACGTGCAAATGGGTTGGTTCGTTTTATTTTTGACGAAGCGATCGCCACTGGACATCTTGTCGTTGTGTAGAGATTGGGACAGTAGGTGGTGTGTTGATTTATGCAAATCAATTGTAGTATCTCATGCAGCCGTAGTAATTAATTGTAGCATGTTTGCAATTGTGTCATACTCACAATGGTAGACAAATTATGCTGTGTTTTATAGTAAGTTTATATAAAACAGTGGTAGTTACCTTTCGCCTTCTCTCCGGCAGACTGCGGTGACACACCGCAGTCACACCGCCGCTGCACACCAGTCACATCGCTCAAGTGTGAACACGTTCGCCTGTTCAGACGTGATAATTCAGATGCGTCCAACGTGCGTTGGTGGAGTAGTGGTTACACGCTCGCCTCGCATGTCAGATGTCCGGGGTTCAAATTCCGGCACGGTCATTGGATTTGCACTGCTGATGAGCCCTAATAAGAGCAAAACTCGAGTCCAGTGCCTCCCTTTGTTGTGGACTCACTGGAATAATTGCGCCAGAACAGGAACACCACCGTTCAAATGAGTGGTGTGGCTATGTACAAACATACCTATCCCGCAAAACCCCAGAAACTCTGCTACGAGCAGTTTTACTGCAGCTACGCAGAAGATAAAGCACAGGAATTTCGGAACCAGGCGGAGATAAAAATATTCCATACAACCCGTTTATGTATCGTAAGCTGGGATAAGATAAACAAACCAGCTGAGCTTCGGCACTTTATCTTGTTTGTTCACTTTCGTGTGTTTACACCATACCATTGCACAAGCGCAAAACTACCTATTGAAATGAGTTCGAAGGATAGATTGTCCTTCTAAAAGCCGCGTAGGCTGACTGGCTCAAACTAAACCCTGTCATCAGTGAAAAGTTCCAAAAACAGGTCCTTACATGGCTAAATTAGGAGCTGCTTTTAATTTACGGGAATAGGAATTTTTAAGTATGGCTTTCGTGTGAGTAAGGGTTGGTTCTTACCAAAATCTTGGTAACACCGAACTGCTTAGTGTCTTGTTATTATCAACAGAACTGAGTACTTTTCAAATTTCTAGGGAGAATCGAACCAACAGCACTTCAGATGGGACTGAGGAAACCCAACCTTCGGTTAGTCATATCCATACAGCTGACGAGGATTGAACAACATGGAGTGGTGTGGTACAAACATACCTATCCCGCAAAACCCCAGAAACTCTGCTACGAGCAGTTTTACTGCAGCTACGCAGAAGATAAAGCACAGGAATTTCGGAACCAGGCGGAGATAAAAATATTCCATACAACCCGTTTATGTATCGTAAGCTGGGATAAGATAAACAAACCAGCTGAGCTTCGGCACTTTATCTTGTTTGTTCACTTTCGTGTGTTTACACCATACCATTGCACAAGCGCAAAACTACCTATTGAAATGAGTTCGAAGGATAGATTGTCCTTCTAAAAGCCGCGTAGGCTGACTGGCTCAAACTAAACCCTGTCATCAGTGAAAAGTTCCAAAAACAGGTCCTTACATGGCTAAATTAGGAGCTGCTTTTAATTTACGGGAATAGGAATTTTTAAGTATGGCTTTCGTGTGAGTAAGGGTTGGTTCTTACCAAAATCTTGGTAACACCGAACTGCTTAGTGTCTTGTTATTATCAACAGAACTGAGTACTTTTCAAATTTCTAGGGAGAATCGAACCAACAGCACTTCAGATGGGACTGAGGAAACCCAACCTTCGGTTAGTCATATCCATACAGCTGACGAGGATTGAACAACATGGTGTTCATGGCGTGCATTTTTTTGACCTAGTGTATCCACCAGCAATGAAACCAGTTCCTGTTTGAAGTGTGATAATTCACCAGGTTGAAGTATCCTCAGGATTGGTGAGGATATATCACCGAAACTCACGCACTGTCACTGATACCCGGGTTTGGGTGAAGCTGACTGAACTGTAGTGCGACTAAAACTTCTTACACTGTGCAAAATTGTGGTGACCTTCTCCCGTGCGAATTGACATTTGTTGATTCTGCAGGTGAAGTGAGTTGGGAAGATAATCCTGGTGAATTCGTGCGGCTTTGATGTGTAAAAGCGTTTCGTCTGATAAACGAACTGTCCGTAACCCACTTTTCCCAGAATTTAAAAAGTGAGTTAACACAACCCACACATGTGTTCCAAATGCAGCGGTAGTTTATGATTGATCAGGCCACTGGTAACCGATGGACACGTATTCTGTTGGGGCCAGTAAATGGCACACTTTTTGGTGGCAAATCTACTCATGCCACATCGGTCATTTCGGAAGTACGCATCTTGAAAATAGTTTGTGGCCAGCATATAGCAGATATGGTCTTCCGTTGACGCCCATGCGTGCTGAATCTAACCCAAGTCGACCAAGTTTCTAAGTCTCAGCTGCGCCACGTCCACCTGCTTGTCCACATATTCAAGTCCTCTCTAACCACAAACGTATCAGAGCTCTTAACTCACCACAAAAAGTTATTCAGGATGTTATAAAAAAATGTGTTATCCAGTACCTGTTCTTACAGCCAGAAACAGTACAGCGGTAAGCATCGTGTGCTTCCTCCACAGACTTCACCAAACGAAGTGAGCGAAGACGATTATCCAACCATCACCTTTATGCCCAGTGACATCGTGGTACCCATATCTGCAGAAGTTGACCAGGCCACACACAGATGGAGATTTAAAACCAGATGGCAGAACTAACTCACTAAATGTGCTTGAATCTTGAAGCCTCTTTTTCGATGAACAAAGTAAGTAATTTTCAAGTGAGCTCAGCATGCGAACAACAGCAACCATTGGCTTCGCTCGCTTCAGATGGTGGACGTTACAAGTGACCAAAAAGACCTAGCATGAAGAACTGGAATATGATTTCAAGGGGACTGGTTGCCGATGCCGACCAACCTGCAGACCATGCAGCTAAGGGTGATTCAAGGCAAACGAAACCTTTCGACTCAAAAGCTTGACCTCAAGCGAATGGTCTTTGTTTGGAAAATCTAAAGCACTGATTTTTTTAAAAGAACAGATCCCCCCAGCGCATGCTTTAGCTTACAGCATGGGAGGTCATGAGACTGTGCCAATCACACCGATGACCAGTTAGAGTCTGGGAGCACCACACCACATGGTTTATTTAGCGTGCACAACCTGCCATAGTCCTCTCAGCCCCGGTCTTTTCATACCCATCTGAAATGGAATGGGTGGTCACTCATTCTAATCAGCCTGAGACAGACATATGTTGATGCTACGTGCTCCGATGACCTCATCATCAGTCGCCCCGACAAAGGTAACGGAATAGTCGTGATGAACAAAACTGACTATATACGAAAAATGAAGGACATTCTGGCTGACACAACCAAGTTCAGCCAGACAGCCAACGACAAAGATAAAACGCTTGTAATAGAGCAACAACTGGCGACATGTCTGAAACGTCTTAAAGCAAACGGTTTCATCTCTAAGACAACCTACGAAAAAGTCAAACCCACAGGGTCAACAACGCCTCGCCTATACGGTTTGCCGAAAATCCATAAACCCAACTGCCCGCTGAGGCCAATCCTAGACATGCAAAACTCGCCCTATCACCAAATCGCACAATGGCTCGTCAAAATGCTTGAACCAATACGGCGACAAATGTGTCAATACAGCTTGCGAGATACATTTCAATTCGTGGACTCAATAAAGGACCTAGAACTGAAAGATTCGTTCATGTGTTCATTGGACGTGACTTCACTGTTCACTAACGTCCCCTTAACTGAAACGATTAACCACCTATGTAACTACATAGAAGCAAATAATTTTCAGCTACCTATTCCAGTCAACGAGCTGCGTGAACTCCTCCTGCGATGCACATTGAATGTGCAACTACTGTTCAATGGCATGCTCTACCGTCAAATTGACGACGTTGCCATGGGCTCACCACTGGGCCCCAATACTAGCCGACATTTTCATGAGTAAACTTGAAAATGGTCCCTTAAAGGCTAACATTGAGAATATGCAACACTACTGCCGATATGTTGACGACGTCTTCGCCGTTGTTAACAACAAAGACGAATTGGAGTCACTCCAACAAGAGTTCAACAAGGCCCACACTGCCATTCAATTCACCTCGGAGGGAGAAACAGACAACTTTTTCCACTTCCTAGATGTTGGCCTTGAACGACGTCACGATGGTACACTGAAACGATCGGTGTACCGGAAACCTACTTGGTCAGGTCAATACATCAACTTTAGCAGCTTCGTGCCACTAAAGCAGAAACGGAACCTGATCCGCAGCCTAACTAACAGAGCGAAGAAAATATGCTCTGAGGATGCACTGGAACAAGAATTCCAAACTCTCACCAACGTCCTGAGAGACAATGGATTCCCCGACAAATTTATTACAAAACATTTGAACAGGGAAGAAGCAAACACCATCACAGCCACAGCTGGAAGGAAACCAGTTTACATTAACCTCCCGTTTAAGGGAGATATACCGGCCGATCTACTGAACAGAAGACTTTCCACCAGTCTGAACAAAGTTTTCCCGGCCGCAAAACTCAGAACCTGGTTCACCAGCAATCGTTTGTGCCCCTTTAATCTCAAGGATAGAGTGCCGGTCCACGCCCAAAATATGTTAGTTTACTCATTCTCTTGCTGCTGTGCAGCGGAATACATCGGACGCACGACTAGGCAACTCAGCCAAAGAATGAAGGAACACAATCCACCCTGGCTAGCTTCTGGAACCAGGAGGACGATAACCAGCTCCGTAGTACAACATTTAGCTGACACTGCACACAACGTGATACCCAGCCAAAGTTTCCGCGTTGTTTACAAGGCGCCGGCTAACCAACCCAGATCAGTACAGCAGCGCACAATTGCAGTGGCTGAAGCTATCGCCATACGACATCGCGACCCGATCCTTTGTCGGCAAAAACGCTCTGTTCGTGTGTTATACTTACCATGGTCCAACTCACCTCCCCCCACACATGCATCGTGTGCTGAACACAACTACAACACCCTCCGAGCTGACTAGCTCAAGTCATCCTATTGGCGACCTGGACTAATGGTTCTTTGATAGGTAGCCAATGTCATCTCACTCGATTCCCTGTCCATTTACACCATACTCATTCAAATATGTTAAATACCGCTCTCTTAACCTTTGCAATTGTATGACTTGAAAAGACCTTGCCGAAAACGTGTTCATCAACCCATCTGTGTTCTTATTATAGATGGGAATTTTCGGAATAATTCTGAAACCTAGCGTGTGTGCATTCATGTAATTCCTGTTGAGCGCGTTGCCATCTAAACTTAGCTCTCCGGCTTTTCGGAGATTTGCAGTGGACCACAGTGTGGCCGCTTAATCTAGGCAGCACAGATTCGAAACATCAGGCTACACCCGGTATTCGTGTGATTTGGGACTTGTAATAGGCCGCTTTCAGGACGAGGCATGCTCACTGTGACACAAAATCAGGTTCCACTGCGCAGATGAGCTACTCAATCCTGATTTTGATGAAGTAGGCATAGTATGAAACTCTTTCGACCGAAAACAACAAAATTAACAACCAGAAATGCCAAGTGGAATATTCCACGGGCGCTGCACGGATCGATGCTCACTAGGCTTTTTATTTATCTAAGTAGCGTGTGCGAATGGACGGCTGCAAGGTGGCCATCTTTCTATAACATCAACGACACTGTTATCTAGTCTGTTCGCCGAGTTTCCTGTACTGGATTTCTGTTTCTGCGTCGTGGCTGTTGGCAGCTAAAATAAATATGCTAGTATGTAGTGTGACTGACTTGCCTATGGTCTTTATGTCTGAACACGTACACAAGTTTCGCCTTCGCCATCACCTGTGCATAGAATGAACAGTAAAAGATCTCCCACAAAGAAAACCTGAAGTTGTCTTTGAGGAATCTGATGACAACCGGTTGTCGGTTCTCTAGCTTCAATTTGACTTAACTGTGTGCATTTCGGCATAAGGTTCAGCCTTAGAAAATGGCCTAGTGACATACTGGGATTACATCTCTATGTAATGGGTCAGCATTTCTACTGTTGAAATTAAATACTGGACGGTGATGAGATTTTTGCACCTCAAGCATAACTCTCTAAAAACAAATTGACCTATCGCATTACTGATACCTAAAATGCTGTGCTGACTGGATAACCTGATATGAAGTAAAACCATTAAAAATAGTGGAGAAATAATTACAAATGGATTTCCGTAGTCGTATGAAGCACACAGATGAATACCATTAAATTTATTTTTGGTGGGTCTTAAATCAAACACAAGTATAAGATACCCGGAGGGAACTTAGCTCGATGGAGACGTAATTTACGAGGCAGCATAGTTTACACATGACTGTGCAATATCATGCTATGAACCGAAATAAAAAATTCGCAGTTTCGCAGAGAATTCTGAACGATTGAGAAAGAAAACGCCCTTAGTAGCAACACTTTTTATAAAGTGTGGCAACATCATTTATCCTCGGTCACCGGGGATATTATTATTATTTCGATCAGCTGTAGTAAATTTTCACGCTGGGACTCAGTGCTCGGTTTGTGTAAACAGACCAAAATGCTGCCTCCTGTTCCTCTAGTACTCAGGAGCTTTTTGTTTTCAGGTGACAAATTGCCTTTGCGAAAGTGAGTTCTGTGGGCATTATGTCATTATTGCATTCAAAAAATTTATTTAACTGTTGACTTCCTTCTTGGGTCTCCTGTCTGCATACCTACGGAGTCCCTAGAAAGCGCAAATACATTCATCTAAATCAATATCCATCATGGCCATACAGACAAATTAATCAATAATCTCCGACAATATTTTATTCTCTTCGTCGATCAACGCTGAAACTTCGTTCTTGTTGAAAATTAAAAGTCATGTTCCATTAAATATTGATTTCCGCGTACAATGTGCACTTTGCCAGCAAATGGAATTTCTGAGCCCTGCGAAATCCCATTTGATGCTGGTACAATGCATGAAGCAGCCGGTGCGATTTTATCTTTCTGCACGACCAGCAAGGCATCCAACAAAAAACCAAAATCTATTGTGAATTCGATTATAACTAAAAATAAAAACTATATATTGCACAAGAGAAGTGAATTTTGGCAGTCTAAACGAAACTTTCTACTAGGTGAATGGGCATCAGATTGCCAAAACTTCAGTTTCATATGCGGAGTCTCATTTACCAAGGATGCTGAACTAAAAAGGTGTTATCGTGGACTAGAACAACCTAAAATACTATCTTTAGGAAGATTTTGCGCCGGAAGTTTCGGCGTTTTGGTGAAGCTTATCTATTGTCATTGTGTCGAAATACTGGTGGTCCATCTGAAACAACAGAGGAAGAGCAATTAATGTAATTTTGCACAACACATCACGAAAGGTTATGAAGCCAAGGACATCCGTATCCTGCTTATTGCCCCGCATGTCGAAGGTATTTTGCAAAACCTTGACGTGAGAAAACGAATCAAGCATCTGGTTGAACACCAAATCACCTATCACGCTACTTGAGCTGGGAGTCATATCTTAGTCAAATTTAGCGAAAAGAAGGAATGCCCGCCCCTCTAATTTGATGCTGGTACAATGCATGAAGCAGCCGGTGCGATTTTATCTTTCTGCACGACCAGCAAGGCATCCAACAAAAAACCAAAATCTATTGTGAATTCGATTATAACTAAAAATAAAAACTATATATTGCACAAGAGAAGTGAATTTTGGCAGTCTAAACGAAACTTT